TGACCGCCTCCGCCCTCCGCCGCGCCCGCCGCAACCTCCTCCTCCTCCTCCTCGTCGCTCTCGTCGCTCTCGTCGGCCGCCTCTCCCCTCTGCTCGCCCTCCGCCTTTCCCCCCTCCTCGCCCGCCTTGCCGCCCTCCCCCTCCTCGCACCACGACGCGCGAGACGCCCCGAGCAGCGCGCAGCCTCCATCTAGCCCGACCACCAGCGCGCCCGCGCAGTGCGCCTCGTACACGCACGAGACGCTAGGGTGCTGCATCAGCGCCGCAGCGCCGCCGTACCCCTCCAGCAGCGACCCCGCAGCCCCCGCCCCAGCGTCCTGCCCCAACGCCCTCCCCTCCTCCACCTCCTCCAGCCCATCGCCGTCGCCGTCGCTGTCGCTGTCGCTCGCCACGCCGGCCCCGCCGCCGCCGCCGCCGCCGCCGCCGCCGGCCGACGCGGCCGCCTCCGCAACAAAGGGCCGTGGCACGGCCGGGTCGTCCGCGAGGGCCTCCAGTAGCAGCACGCAAGCGGCGCGCACGTCGGAAACCTCGTCGTCAAGCAGCGGCGAGCGCACGGCGCCCGAGCAGTGCAGCACGCGCCACTCCAGCGACGGAAGCCGTGCCGACAGCGCGCCCATCAGTGACAGGGCCGCCGCGCTCGCACCCGCCGGCGCGCAGCCCCCAACCATCAGATAGACAGCGACCAGCCGCGGGGGGCGCACCTCCCTCGCCGCCGCCGCCGCCTCGCCCGCCGCCGCCTCGCCCGCCGCCGCCTCCTCGCCCGCCGCCACCTCGCCGGCGGCATCAAAAGCGCCGCGCCGCAGCGTCCGCGCCGCGCGCCGCAACGTCCGCTCCGCCGCGGCGCGTGCCTCATGCCTCAGGATGGCGGGCAGCGCGGTGCGGCAGAGGAGGACGTCAAGCGCGAGAGGGCTGAGCGGCGAGGTGAGCAGTGCCACCGGTGGGAGCAACACTCCGAGCGGGCCAGCACGCACGCGCCGCCGCGACGCCACCTTGCCGCCCGGCGGTGGCGCGACGGAGAACCGGACCACGAGGTCGCCCCGCAAGCACGCGCCCTTGGCCGGCGACCCTCGCAGCGGCAAGCCGCGGCCGGGGACGACCGCCTTCAGACGAGACGCGGCGAGAGTGAGGCAAGGAGGAGGCAAAGGGAGAGGCGAGAGGAGGCGAGAGGAGGCAGGGCGGCGAGGGCGAGGCAAGAAGGAGGCATGGGAGAGGCGGTTTGAAGCGACTACCTCCCCGAGCCCCGAACGGTCGAAGCCGAGGGCGGCCGCCAGCGTGTTGCCTAGAAGATTCCTGGAAGGGTGCTGGAAGGGTCCTAGAAAGTTCCTAGAGGGCGGCCGCTAGCGTGTTGCCGGTGGCAAGCGCAACCTTCCCGTCGATGGAGAGGACGAGAGCGCCGTAGAAGAGGCGCTCGGCCGGCACACCCGCGCCGCCCGGTCCCTTGTCGTACAGCCACACGTCGTCGCCGAGCCGGGCAAACGTCTCGTGCGGCGCCTGCAGGACCGGGTCCGAGGCGGTTCAGAGGAATCTTCCCGTCGTCGACGCGGGCGAGCGTCTCTTCGGCGCCATTGTCAGGCAAAAGACGAGGTCTGCGCGGCCGGTCGGCCCGACGTTGCCTACGCGCACTCAAGATGTGTGGCAGCCCGGCTGGCTCAGCATCTTGTGTCGTGTGTCTGTCGATGTCTGTGTCGCTCCCGCGTGGCCGTCTTCTGCCTCGCTTTGCGTCCCACCCATGCCGCGCTGGTGCCCCGTCGCTGGCCACCCTGTGTCCTCCCCTCTCTACCGACGTCGCCTTGGGAGCGGTGCCAGTAGGTTGCGCCTTCGGGCTCTCCGCGGTTCACCTTATGGGGAGATGTGGGGAGATGTGGGGAGATGTGGGGAGATGTGGGGGGCTCTCCGCGGTTCACCTTGAGCGTGAAGATCTCCTCGCGCTCCACCCGCTCGTACTTCGTCCCCGCAAAGTACGAGCGAGCAAACGGCACGTGCAGCCGAGCCCCCTTGTACACCTGCTCGATGCAGGGTAGTAGTCGGCGTAGTCACCGCTGCCTTTTAGTTTTGGACGACCGGGTGCCGGTCGTAGTCCTTCGGCCGTCGCGCCAGGTGTGCGAGCTAGCCCGGCGGCGTGGAGGTGTGCTGCAGTCCCTCGCCTGAGTGTGCTGCAGTGTGTCGCAGTCCCTCGCCCGAGAGTGTGCTGCAGTGTGCCGCAGTCCCTCGCGCATTCCCCAAGGTCGTTATCCGAGACACACCTGCTCGATGCTGACCGGCACGTCCACGCAGGTCGGAGGCGGCTTGTCGCACTTGCCGGCGTCGGCGAGGCCGGCGTCCTCCGCGGCGGCGCGCTTGTCGCGCTGCTGGTCGTACACCCGCCGCGTCGGCAGGTCGATCAGCACTGTGAATGCGTCCACCACCTCAAAGTAGCGCGCCTTTGCGGTGGCCGCCTCGGCGTCGGTCTTGCCGCTCTGCTTGTCCGGGTGCAGCTGCAGCGAGAGGCCCTTGAACGCCGCCTTGAGCTCGCCCTCGGACGCAAACTCCGAGACGCCGAGCCGCTCGTAGTAGTCGATGTACTTGTCAAACGGCTTGAGCTGCTTGTATGAGAGGTCCATCGCGTCGGGCCGGTAGGTCGGGTCGCGCTTGCGCCGCTCCTCCTCTCTCGCGCGTGCCTTCTCCGCCTCCTTGGCCAGCGCATCCAGCAGCTTCTTCTGTACCTCGGGCGAGATCTGTGGCGCCGTTCGCTGCTGCTGCGCGGGAGCAATGTAAGGGCTGAGCCCGGTGCTCTGCTGCTTGCGCGCGAACTGGGCGTCGTAGAGCTCGACAGCGTTTTTCGGAGGCATCTCGAAGGAGGCCTTGCCAGCTGCGACGAGCTCAGGTGCGAGTCTTTCGACCGTCGGGGCAAGCGGGAGGAGGGCTCGAAGCCGGGGGCCTCACAGTGCCGATATTCGGCGGTGGTGGGCCAGATTCCTACAAGAATGAAGAAAGTTTCGTAGGCGAGTTTTTGTGTGAAGAACGCAGAGAAGACTGCGAAAAGAGATAGGAAGAGGCAGACTCCCTAGGGTGGGCGACGGATAGCGCATCACACCCCTCTCCTTAAAATCCCTGTGTGGTGGCGGCGTGCCGTCCTCCCATCCCTCCCTTGGGTTGTCTGTTTTCTTTCTTTCTTTCTTTTAAGAACGCAGAGAAGAGGGAGATAGTGGACCGACGGACGTACGGACACATGTGTAAGAGCGCGCACGAGTGGGTGTGCGAGCAATATCGAAAGACAGTGAGGCCAGGATCGCACACGGCAGGGGTGGCGGGACGGTTGTGGAGCGAAGTGGCAGTAGCCAGCCTCAAGCATCGATGGGATAATAAGATGAGATTACCGGACGAGAACGGGGGGAAGGACAGGCGGGCGACATTTGACGACGTCGGGGATCACAATGTGACGACCAAAACGATCTTGGGGGCCAGGGTGAGACAACAGGTCGGGGTGCCACACGGGGCACACCACAGGCGTATTCTAGAGGGGGAAAAGAAACGGGGAATGAGGGGCCCCGCCACGAGAAGTGCGTTCTGGGGATGCAGAGCGTGCAAGGCGGCTAGGGATGAGGCCACAAAAGAGGCGCGCGAGGCAAGGAGGAGACGCGGGGAACTGGGAGACTGGGACGACTGGAAACAAGAAGACAGTGAGCCACCACAGGCGTCGTTGGCGCACATACTGAGCGGCAGCTGCGCTGGAAATAAGGAAGAGGCGCGTCACTTCATGCGGAAGCTCGACAAACACACAGCGAGGGCGACAGCAAGAGTTGAACGGGAGGCGCCGGACTCAAAAGACACCGCCACATTCCTGAGACGAGCGAGGGCAGCCTCCTTAAAGGCGAAAGGGTCTAGATTTGGAGCGCTCGCCGAAGAGGAGTACGACAAAATAGCGCCCGTGATTGCCTGCACGCTACCCGCACTCACGGACTCCATACCCGAAAGAAAGAGAAGGGAGCTCGCGGGAGAGGTGACGAGTGAACTACAGGTAGTGGGGAAGGCAGCCTCGATTGCCATACAGACATGGGTGCGAAACAACGACAAGACCAAGGCACGGGCAGAGGAACGAGAGAAGAATATAGGGTGGATAAAGCGCCTGTTCACGGCATGGAGGGTGAGCCACACCGAACGTACCGAGCGAAGAGCCGAGCGGAAGGAGGACGGGGAAGATGACTCCGAGGAGGACGAACCAGTGGAAATCCAGTTGTCAGATGTCACGATGCATCCGAAGGGGACCCCAGCGCCGGCATCATCCGTAGAGGCACGAGTGTTCGAAGAGAGAGTGGACCTGAGCAACAACATGACCTGTAGGCAAATGATCGGAGTGGGAGTCAGAAATGTGGTCCTTGCGCGAGGGGAGCTCGATAGACTCGAGGGGCCAGGATACGCCGCGAGGAGGACGGAGTTGCGCCGAAAGGCGAAAGAAGCCGCGAGAACAAGGGACCGGCAGGCGGCGGCGTCGCAGGACGAGGCAGAAGAGAACGACGCGACAGAGGAGGAAGTGACAAGGGAGAGAACGACGAGGGTGGGACGACCGCGAGGTGGCATGAAGGTTGCAGCGAGAATCGGCGAGAGACTGCGAAGAGAGATAGGAAGAGGCAGACTCCCTAGGGTGGGCGACGGATAGCGCACCACACACCTCTCCTTAAAATCCCTGTGTGGTGGCGGCGTGCCGTCCTCCCATCCCTCCCTTGGGTTGTCTGTTTTCTTTCTTTAAGAGTGCGTAAGGCGGGATATTCGGCCGGTGGGCCAGATTCCTAAGAATTTTACAACAAAACTCCCTTGCTTGCACGACATAATAAAAGATTAAAATCCCTGTGTGGTGGCGGCGTGCCGTCCTCCCATCCCTCCCTTGGGTTGTCTGTTTTCTTTCTTTCTTTCTTTTACATGTAAAAGAATTTGTAAAAGCGTGAAGAGAAGGCGTTGAAAGAAAGGCACGCAGGTGGCACCGCCATCCTCTCGCTCAGACCTCAGCTGCCGGTAGAGGTCAAATGACCGTCACCCGCTCTTGCAGCCTGCTGGCGTTGCTCCTCCTGCTCCCGACCGAGGTCGTCGGAATGGCAGTTCGGCCAAAGCTTACTGTCTTTCGGACCGGTCCACAGCTGCGGCCGCCTGCTCGAGAGACCCCCGCAGCAGACGCCGGCGCAAGAGACGTGATGCTCAAGCTGTACGACATCTCGAGCCCGCCGCTCGTCTCTGCCTTCCAGGCGCTTGCATTCAAGGAGGGCTTCTGGTTCCCCAAGCTTAGCATCGGAGTCGGGCGGTCCTGTTGGTCTTACGACGGAGAACCGGAGGCTCTCCACCCTCTCTCCTCTGGCCCCTCTCCTCCTCCTTCACGATTCTCTCGCCCTCATTCCAGGAGACGTACGATGGCATCCTCGAGAGAGTGTCGGGAGGCAAGCCGCTGCGGACCATCAACTGCGGCCCGACCAGCAAGTCGGACGCCCAGATCGCGCAGATCATCGCCGAGATGGGCGCCACCGACTACACGCAGGACCGAGTCCTTGCACGAAACTGTATTCATATGATCACTGGCCTTGCAGTCCTTGCACGAAACTGTATTCATATGATCACTAGCCTAGCGGACAGGCTCGGCGTATTCTGATGAGACCACAGAGGGGCGAAATCCCGCCCCTGCAGGACGAGTACTGCTTCTTCTTTCGAAACTGCAACCACTTTGCGCTGGATCTCGCGGAGCGGCTCGCCGACGGCGGCGTGCCGGCCGAGCGCCTTCGTCCTACAATTTCATGACGAGAGAACAACAATAATTAAAGCTCGTGCAATGATGGGGTGTAGGAGGCCGACGCGGCCTTCATTGACGCGCACGTACTCCACGAGTCAGAGGCCATACTGAGCGACTTGCCGCTCGGCGCCCTCCAGCAGACGCTCACGCGGCAAATCACGCGGCAGGTGCCCATAGATTAATAATTAATTTCCCCATATGCCCCCCCCCCCCCCTCCCTCGCCGCAACCAACACCTCCCGTCAGCATCGCAACTTATCGCAGGTCCAGCTCGTGGTGATCAAGTCGTGGCGCAAGGAGTGGAAGCGCCAGCTCGCCGAGTACGAGGAGGAGCAGGGCATCCCGCTCGAGGAGCGCAAGGTGTACGCCAAGCAGTGACAGATGTGCGGGGGTGGTGTGCGAGTGGGGGGTGGGGCGGAGGGGGGGGGGTCGGGTGTGTGCGTGGTGTGTGTGCGGTGTGTGTGCATGTCCACATCTCCATGTGAGAGAGTGCCGAAGAGAAGAGAGAGAGATAAAAATAGATAAGACCTCTGGATCCTTCTATGCTTTCATATAGTTGATAGTCGCCGTGACATGTGTGGTTCCAAACTTCCATCATGCATCAATTTCACCCAGACAGAAAAGTCCACAGACCACACGGAACACGGTTGTCGGTTGGTCCGTCTGGGAATGTGGAAAGTCGCACATCATTTTTGCTGGCGGAAGCGATCTCGAACACGACCGGATCCCGGCTGGTGGCGGTGCGTCGCGCAGTATCAGTAAGCCAGCTCTTGTTGTTCAGGAACTGCTCCCGCGGAAATGGCCCCTCAGAGGGCGCGATGTGCGTCGAGCCCAAGTCCGCACCGCCACGCATGTGAACCCGTGGATAACTTTTGTTTAATAAAGAATAACAATAATAGTGTGGGAGGTTGACTGAAAATGATGTATGAGTATGTAAAGTCTTAATTAAAGAGCCACATACAACGAAAATGCTCTGCACGGGTGAGTCACGCCGGCGTCAAAGGAGCGACGTGCGACCTGTCAGCGCTTGATCTCCGATCTCAGCGGCGTCGAGTCGTCTTCTCCGACGCGCGCCCAACAAACAAAGAACTCTCGGACTCGGCCGTCCCAGCACATGTGCGTGTGCATATGGCTTCTGCTCTCGGTGGCGGCGGCGGATACCGGGCAGCCCCCGCCCGTGGCGACGATAGTCATCTCGCGCAACGGCCAGCGCGTCCCCTATCCGCCTCCGCTCACCGACCTGCCGACAGGAGTGACAGCATGGACCGAGCAGCGGCTGCCGACTGCGGCGGCATGGAACATGTCTGAGACTGACTTCGCGCAGCAGGGATTGACGGGTCGCGGCAGAACGCTGATGCGGCACATGGGTGAGTATGTGGCGGCGGCCGAAGCGCCAGCGAGCCGCTGCGGCGACCTCGTGACCCAGATCCTGCTCACAGACAGCACAGACCACAGCCGCATCTCGGCGCCAGACTCTGCACACTTTGCCCGCGACCGCTCGGTCGGCCGTCCACCACCGCCGTGGCTCGCATAGGCGGAGGAGTTCGTCGCGGGATTCGTGCCACCCGAGTGCGCCGTCACCGCACCCGAGCCCGAGCTCTACTCGCCGCTCCTCGACCACTTCGCAGACGACCGCTCTCACGAGGGAGAGTTCGCCCAGCTCGGCTGGCCGTGCGGCGAGGAGGCTGACGAGGCTGAGGTGGAGGCGGCGATCGGCGGCAACTTTGAGGCGCTGACCGACTCGGAGCGACCGCTCTTCGATCTGCTCAACACCGTGCTCGACTGCTGCAGCCCAGATGTCTGTGCCAACCATTCTCTGCCGCCTGGCAGCGGCTGACCTCGCGCTGGGGACCGCGCGTGTGGCGCCGCCTTACCGATGGCCGCGGTGAGCTCTAGGCTGTACCATTGCGGACCTGCCGTACAAGTGGAACGGCAAAGCATTGGACGGCTACTTTGAGGGCCCCTTTGAGGTGGCGGGCTCCTTTTCCGAGCTCTTCATGATGCAGATGCTGAGCGGCGTCGAGGCGGCGTGGGGAAAGCTCGAGAGACCTCAGGTGAAGGCTCTCTACCTGGTCGAGGGCCGGCGAACATGGCTCGCCACGCGCTGGGCGGGCGCGCGTCGCTGGGGCTCGCAGGGGCTCGCGCATGTCCTCGCGGTCTTCGAGCAGCGCGTCACCGGCGTCAGGCTCGAGGGCGTGCGGCACCCGCTCGATGCTCTCGATGCTGGTCGCGACGTCTTCGTCGGCATGTTCGGCTCGCGCTTCAACCTGCTCTTCTACCAGGCGCTGCTTCACTCCAACTGGCTGGCAAGGGATTGGGACATCAACTCGGCGCCTCCTGGCTCGCACATTGCCTTTGAGCTCCACGAGACCGTCGGCGCGAGCGGCATCGCCAACCGCACGGTGCGGGGCGTCTTCACGGCAGCCTCGATCGACCAGATGGAGAGACAGATGCCGTTGGCACCGCCCGCCGACCCGCCCGGGACCTCCGTCTTCCTTCGGATGGATTGGGAGGACTTTCGCCTGCTGGTGCTCGGGGCGGTAGACTCGAGATGCGTCACGTTTCCGCTGAGGCGCGAGATCGAGCGGATGAAGGAGGGACCGACGGTCCCGCCGGAGGACGACCTGCGCCTGCCCGACCTGGCCTCCCTCTACTTTGCGGACGCAGCGGAGGGCTGGTCGCAGGCCGACTTTGAGGGGGCGCATAATGAGTGGGAGTCATCCATCGCCGCTGCCGCAACCCACGAAACAGCAGCCCACGAAACACACTTGCAGACGACGCCGGTGCCGGTCCCGCCGCCGGCCACGCCTCTGCAACTGTGCAGCCCGATCAAGGCAGCTTCTGGTGTGAGCGCAACCACCACCGCGGCCGGCTACACGCACATTGACGCAGGCTCATGCGAAGATTACGGCTGCCGCGCACCAGCCACCGCGGAAGAATGCCTCGCGGCTGTTGACGGCGGATCGCCCCTGTACCGCGCGCCAAAGCGGAGCAGGGGCACCGACGGTCCGTACTCGGCCTGCGACTACAAGGCCTCGGCTGCGCAGGTGACGTGGCGGGAGGGGCGCTCCGCCAAGTGCGGCGAGGGCAAGTACCCGTGCATCTGTCTCTGCGAGGCCTGCCCTGGCGGCCTGCCGTGCCCTCAGTGCGGAGAGGCGGCCTGTGAGTGCCCCGCGCTCTTTGCTCCAGACAGCCACCCCCACACGACTGGCAAGCTCAAGGCGTCCATCGAAGAGGTGATTGAGCAGATCGAGGATGACGGTGGCAGCAGCCCGAGCTCGGCGAGCTTGATCGACGCCAGCGGCGACGTGGAGAGCAGGGCGGCCCCGCCGGCGACCCCGCTGACCGACGCCACGGTGGCGGCGGCGCTCGCCCTGGTGGCGGTGGGCGCATCCCTCCGCCTCCTGCATCGATCGAGGCGCGCGACCCCAGCGGTGCGCGTGCAGCCTGCCTCGCCGCGGAGACGAAGGGTCAGTCACTGCACGCACTCGTACTCATCGATGAGGGTGATGAACTGATTTGTTTATGGCGCGGCGCACGCCCTACCCGACCGGGAAAATGAAAATTGAATGTCGTTGGTTTGATTGCGACCCGCCCGAACCTCGCACGCGCAGGGCTTTCTTTGCGGTATATACCTGTGTAGTGTGTGCGTGCGTGTGTGTGCGCGCGCCAGTGTGGGATAGTGGGGCGCGCACGAAGTCGCGCACGTCTCGTGCCGCTTGGAGCATTTGGAGTTCGCCCGTATGCCTCTCCGCCGCCTTCTCGGCGCGTGCGGCGGCGCGTGCGCCACACGTGAGCCTGCAGAGCCCTGCTCTCTACTACCACGTAGTCGTCGCCCCTGCACCTCAGGCCTCACTCACTCACTCAGGCGCCCGCCCGCCCCGCCGGCCGACAAGCACGAGCCCCCACGCGTCGCCGCAAGGCCGCTCGATTTGGCCGCCTTCCGCCCCCCTCAATGCTTGCCGCTCGCCCCCCACCACCACCCACCACACACACACACACACACACACACACACACACACACACACACACACACCACTCATATTTACAACTCAAGTCCTCTGGAAAGCAAGCATTTTTCCAAAAGGGTCAATGGTGTCGAGTTCGCCGTCGAGGGGCAGGGACGTGTCCAACGATCGCCGCCACGATCCCCTCGCCGATTCGAGGTGGCGTTGCTGGCTCTGTGCTGGCGATGCACAGGTTGCTCCTCTACGCTCTCGTTGCCATGAACGGCGGTCCCTTCTCGACCGACCCAGTGTTGCAAGTGGACTACATTTCACCTCTTCCCGATGCTCTGCGTCGCAGCCTCATGGCCGTCCACGCATCCGGCCGCCCATCTGTCTCGAGAGCAGATGGCGCGCCTCGCCTGGTTCCTCCGTGATGTGCGGATGGCACACATCGGCAGCTCGAGGAGTTCAGCCAGGCGGGGTCGCACCGCGTCTTCCTTCACTCGGCCTAAAGTCGGGCGGCGCTGGGATCAACCTGCAGACGGCAAACGTCGCGATGGTGCTCGACCCGTGGTGGAGCCCGGCCATCGAGCGGCAGGCACAGGACAGGATCTGGCGGCTGCGTTCGCCGTACGACGAGATCTTCTGCTACTCCTTCCTTGCTGGCGAGACGGTCGACGAGTACGTGCAGGCGAAGAAGGAGGAGAAGGAGGAGATTGCCGCAGACACGATCGAACGCGTCGCCGACTGCGCGCCGCCGCTCTCCGATGCTGCTGGAGGGAAGAAGGGCGAGCCGGCCGAGCGGGCGGTGGTCAAGCAGCTTTCCGAGGCGGGATACGACAGCAAGGCGCCCGCCCTCCAGCCGCACCAGACGTTTGGCGTGTGCTGGCTGGTACGGCAGGAGGCCGGCGACAACCCGCTGGCGAAAGGCGTGCAAGGAGGGCTGCTTGCCGACGACATGGGACTGGGGAAGACGCTGCAGCTCCTGTGCACGATTGCACTCGGCGGGTCGCTGCCGACGCTCGTCATCTGCCCGCTCGCAGTCTTCAACTCTTGGGAGAAGGACGCGGCAAGGTTCTTCCCCACTGCCATCACCGTCCACCGCTCCACGAGGCGGGCAGGCTGAGCGCGGGGGAGCTGCAGAGGATGCAGGCGGCGGCGAGCGCGGCCGGCAGGAAACTGGTGCTCGTCACCAACTACGAGACGTTCAGGAACCGGGTGGCTGCGCTGCAGGACATCGCCTGGGAGCGGCTCGTCGTGGACGAGTCGCACAAGCTGAACAACCGCGCCAACGGTATCCTGCACCTGGCCGTCAGTTCGGCTCTGACGCCCGACGAGCTCAACGAGCGGGCAAAGGTGGGAGGGAGGGAGCTGGACTGCAAGATCCGGTGGTGCGTCACAGGGACGCCGGTGACAAACAAGCTGGAGGACTGGACCGCGCAGTTGGCGACCATCGGTGCGACGGTGGCACAGCAGGAGGTCATGCCCACTCTGGTGGGTAGCGACGCGCTGCACGGGCTGGCGCTCCGACGCACCAAGCTGGGCGTGAAGGCGGCGTCGGGTACCAAGCTCCCCCGCTGCTTTGTGCGCGCGCACTGGTCGGCGCTGCCGCCAGAGGAGCAGCAGAAGTACTTCGAGGAGCTCAGCAAGAGCGGGGGGCTTGGAAAGTGGGTCCGCGGCCGCATGCTCACCACCGTGCATGCTGAGAAGAAGGAGAGCAAGGAGGAGAGCAAGGACGCGCCCTCGGCCACGGCGTGGGTGCGCAACGAGACAGGGCGGCTGGCGCGGCCAGGACCGAAGTAGCAATGCCGACGCGCAACATGCACATGCTACATGTGCATGTGCATGTGCATGTAGGGTCGCAGAGATATAGAGAGTCAGTGTGAGACACGGACATACGGTGTGTGTGTGTGTGTGTGTGTGTGTGTGTGTGTGTGTGTGTGTGTGTGTGTGTGTGGCACGGTACAGTCTACAGCCTACTTTACCCCAAGCCAGCAAACGCACCAACGTACAAGCCACGTGCGATTCAGTTCACGTCTCATTTCTTTTGAGACAAAACACAACTCGTGGACATCCAAATGTGAAATGTGATTGTGTACTAGTAGCAAGTAGGATTTGCCACTCACGTGTCACGAGCGGAGAAAGTCGGAAGCAGATATGCGAAACACGCGGCACGTGGTGAATGAGGCACGTGAAAAAGAACCGTTGACGTGGTGCGCTGTATGTATGTATGTAGAAAGATGAACAAACAGTCAGGCTCGGACTGGACACCAACGCGGTATGGGTGGACGCGGGACAGATGATGACGACACGCACGAGCAACACACAGACACAAACAAGCTCACAAGACACACAGCCAGCGTGGCTGCCACACACCCTTAGTTGGCAGGTAGGTAGGTAGAAAGGTGAAGAACAGCCAGGCTCGGACTGGACACCAACGCGGTATGGGTGGACGCTGGACAGATGATGACAACACGCACGAGCGACACACAGACACAAACAAGCTCACAAGACACACAGCCAGCTGGCTGCCACACACCCTGAGTTGGCGTACACATAACTCAAGGCCACATCCTCCCTGTCGCCCCCCCCAGCACTCCAAGGTGCCAAGAGAAACAAACAAGGGCACAACAAGCAACAGACAACAGGAAGTGACATGTGAGGCTAGAGCAGCATGCTCCACCTCTAGCAATCTCTCCGGCCGGCGAGGCACGGACGAGACCGTGTGTGGGGTCTAAGTGAGGTGTCTATGGACGCTCTCCTCACGGGCTAGCTGCCTGCAGCTAGCCCTAATCTCGCACTCACGGACAGTGACAATCAAATGGGTGAGTGTTTGCGAGCAGAGGCGCGTTGGCGTCCACAGCGCTGTGCGCAGATAGAAAAAAAACTGCGCTGTCGAGTGGGGCCCAAAGGTCGCGCGAGCTGATGCCGCTACTGAGCCTCCCCGCGGACCTGCTGGCGCGTATCCTTGCGCGCTTCAGCCCCGCTGAAATCGCTCAAGCCGGAGCAGTGTCGGGCTTCTTCACCGAGTCCCAGCCTCCGCAGACCGCGGGCGGTGCGCGCGAGCCTTCGATTCTCGTCCAGGCTCTGCAGTTGCGGGCCGAAGAGCATGGCTACGTGCTTCCGGTGCTGCCTTTTCGGTGGCTGTGCTTTGCGGCCATGCAGCACGAGGCCAACCCCCCGGCGAGGCTGGCGGCAGGCGAGACACACAGCCTCTTCATCGATGGCGAGGGGCGGCTCTGGTCCTGGGGCAGCGAGGAGGAGGACGAGGTGCTGGATAAGCGGCCTGGACTGCTTGGACACGGCGACGGCCGCGCGCTGCAGCTAAAGGTCCCTACCCGGCTGCTCGGAGGCGAGCACGTCGTGAGTGTGGCGGCGGCCTCAGACTTCAGCCTTGCGCTCTCCGCCGACGGATCGGTCTGGAGCTGGGGCGCTGGATTGCGTTCGGTCCGCGGATCGGCAACGTTGGGTCACGGCGATGACGTTTCCAACCAGCGGCGGCCCAAGAAGATCGAGGCCTTGGCAGGCCACCGGATCGTCGCTGTCTCGGTAGGATGGGCTGGGCACAGCCTCGCTGTCTCCGCCGACGGCACCGTCTGGAGCTGGGGCGGAGGAGACGGTGGCATCTTGGGCCACGGCGACGAGCAGGACCAGCCACTGCCGAAGAAGATCGAGGCTTTGGCTGGCCAGCGCGTCGTTGCTGTGTCAGCTGGGGGACACAGCCTTGCCCTCACTGCTGACGGGGCCGCTTGGTCCTGGGGCGGTGGGTCACTTCTGCCCAAGAAGATCGAGGCCTTGACGGGGCGGGACATCGTGGCTGTGTCGGCAGGCGACACCTTCAGCCTCGCTGTCTCCGCCGACGGCACCGTCTGGAGCTGGGGCGGAGGAGACGGTGGCATCTTGGGCCACGGCGACGAGCAGGACGAGCCACTGCCGAAGAAGATCGAGGCCTTAACAGGGCAGCGCATCGTTTCTATCTCGGCTGGGGGCGACTCCGGCGTTGCCGTCACTGCCGACGGCGAGGTTTGGAGCTGGGGCGACCTCAACGAGATCGGGCCGCCCACAAAGGTCAAGGGGCCCAAGGCGGCGCTGCTTCCACCGCGGCCGCCTTCCTCCGTCTACTTCCACTTCGTGGCCGCGCGCCGCGCCGACCTCAAGGCGGCGCACCCCGACGTGGGAGTCGCGGACCTGGCCAGGATGATGGGCGAGGAGTGGAAGGCGCGAGCCTCCTATCCACCGAGCCGCCGTTCCCCCCGGCACCGCCGTGAACCCCCCCCCCCCTCTCCAGGCCATGTCGGACGAGGACAAGGCGCCGTTCGAGCGGGCCGCGGAGCAGGACAAGCAGCGATACCGCGCCGAGTGCCTCGCGGCGGGCATCGAGGTATCGGACGTGGTCGACGCGAAGCCGGCGCTGTACTATTACCTCAAGTCGCAGCGCATCGCCATCGCCGAGGCGAACCCCGAGGCGGGGCCAGCCGAGCTCATGCAGATGATGAGGCAGAACTTTGCGGCGCTGTCGGAGGAGGAGCGTGCGCCCTTCGAGGAGGAGGCTGCTGCAGACAAGACGCGGCACGAGCAGGAGATCACCGCCGAGGCGCCGCCTCCCCCTCTCCACACCCTTCCCCGCCCCGCCCGCGCCCCACTGAGAGGTTTGACCCTCCCCCTCGCTGCAGCGCGCCGCCAGGGCGGAGAAGGAGGCCGATGGAGCGGTCGCTTCGGAACGGCTCCCGTCCGAGGCCTCCGCGCCCATTGCCAAGCAGGCCAAGGAGGTGCCAGCAAACGCCACCACTCGCCCGCTGCCCCCACCGTCCGTGCGCGCACCCCTCGCTCTCCCGTGCGCCAGCCAACCCCATGCCCCCTCTCGCTCTCCAGGCCGACGCCTTTGCCGGGCAGCGCGTCGTCGCTGTGTCGGTTGGGTACTTCCACACCCTCGCTCGCACCACCGACGGCGCCGTGTGGAGCTGGGGCGCAGCCGAGAATGGCTACGGTGTTGGCCGCTTGGGCCACGGAGATGACACCCTCTCCCACCAGCGGGTGCCGAAGAAGATCGAGGTGTGGGCGAGCGAGCTCGACTCCGCCAACACCTGCAGGATGTCGGCTCGCTTGCAACGGCTTGCGCGCGTTATCCGGTATGGCAACGCCGAGATGGAGCCGCCCGACTCGGACTTCTCGGAGGAGAGCGACTCGGACTTCTCGGACATCGACTGAATACTGCACGGGGCAGCGCCGCCGCTGGCCGGGGACGCGGGGAGATGGCACATGCGCTCGTGTCTCTAGTGAGGCGGGGTTGTGACGCTACGGGGCGCTACGGGGCGTCATCGTCGGCTGGGGGCATGGCAGAAAACGCAGAATGCACAGCGGAGGCGCAGATATATATCATTTTCGTTATACGCTAGCTGTAACCCTACTCCACTGCATTGGCGCATGGCGGCGCCTATGGAGCGTGTGGGGGTAGTCATTGTGTTGGCATCAAAACACAAAAGCGGCAAGTCCATTAGAGTGAAGATACTGGTTTGATGGTACTCCCGCCAAGGGATCGGCTACTTACACCGCCCTTCCCTGCAGCGAGCCCCCTCCGACCCACCCGCGCTAGGTCTCGGGTTTGACGCATGGGGTCACTCCCGCGAAACTCGTGAACTAGCCGGGGCAGTCGGAGAAGGGGCAACTCCGTGCACTGACGGTCGGCCGCCAGAAAACACGCCTGCGTGGATCGCGTCACACCAATCCTCGTCCCTCGCTACCCAACGCGGCCAAGGGATATCCACCTCGAGAACCTCGAGAACATATGCTTTCGCGGCGGCTGCGGCCGCCCTTCCCGCCGCCACGGAATCTTCGACGCCTGATTTCGGACCACCCTGTGTGCGTATATGTGCCGACAGGAGTTCTGTGTACTACTACTAGCGTTCTCAACGCAAGCCGCCCAGCGCCCACACACAGTTCGAACTCCGGTATCCATAGCTCCCACCCGGTGGGTCATAACCTCCTGTAGGCGAATGGCGAGATCTTGCTTCTTGGCGGACAGTGTCTTCTCAAATGTTGGTAGTACCACAACAACCGTCTTCGCTGACTCTTTGTGTGCTGTGTCGTTGGTTTTGAGCATATCTTGCGCAGTGGAACTAGCTTTCGTTCGGGCCACGGACCGATGGAGGTGCTACCACAGAAAACCTTAATAAAATGTGTCTTGGGATCCGTAACACTCAATCCACAATCAACGCACTCAATCGGGACCGACCCACAAACAAGTTCGGTAAACTAAAGCAAGCTATAGATCGGTCCGTAAGTGCCTAAAGGTGTCACATTATATCTTCGCGGCAGCGTGCTTTCACCAACCAAGAAGCCCCTCCCCCGAGACGGCTGGAAAGTCCAGCGCCCGCGCCCAACTTCCTGGAGTCCCATGCATCAGGGTAGTGCACACGTGTAAATAAAACGCCTGCTGCTGATGTGCCTCAAGAAATTCGTGTGCCGCAGCGAGGGTCCAGTCCGGGTTGTGCTCTGCGAATGGCTGACGCATATTCTGGTCGTAGACATGTTTCGCCCAGGTGAAGCCGTATGTCCGCCGGATGATCTCCCGAGCAGTCAGCTCATTCCGGCAGAAGAGATTGCTCATGCCTAACCGGTCGCTATGGTTCGCGCTGGAGTACTCAAGCAGCTGCTCTTGCGTCCACAAGGGCCCAACATGGAACTTGCCTGTAAAGCCCGTGGCATAGCCCGCATCCGCCAAAAGTGCACCGGTGTTCGACCGGTCGTGTTCAAGCGGGACATTGAACTGGTTGGGCATAGCCTGGACCTTGTGTAATGGGTTTGGCACACCAAACTTGGTGCTACTATTATGTGCTGGAGGTGAGAAGTCACTTTCACCACGGCAGACAGAGCTATAGCAAGAGGTGCCATATCGCCCTGTGAGGAAACTGTATAACGATGGTGCACACAGTGGGTTGGACTACGTGAATGCACGATCAAAGACGAGGCCCTCTCGTGCTACCCTCTCCAAGTTGGGTTGCGAGCCCGCTGCAAGCCCCCCTGGGTACACGCTCATGTTCACACCATCGTAGTCGTCAAAGAGGAAGCAGAGTATATTTGGCCTCCTGGAAGCTTCTTCGAGTGTCGGGGGCATAGCCGCCTTGAAGCAACGGCACGCCGCACGTGTGAGAACGAGAAAAAAGGGAAGGAGAAATGGATGCGGAGAATAAAACTGGCACCTGTTGCTTGCTGCATAGGCTGCCTGCTTACTCTCCAACTTCGGTCATTCCGCCGCCCCTCCCTTGCTCCAGATTCAAGGCCACCTTCTCTTGCGCGGGATGCGTGGGCGGCGGCGGGTAGCTGGGCTGACAACATCCTGCAAAGCCAAAGTTGCGGCCAAATCCAAGGTCGCAAGTCGTAAAGTGCTGCGTCTGGTCCGTGACGGACAGCAAGTGACAATTTGCGGTCAAAGTATTGTGAACATGGCCCGTGGTGGTATGCTCTTGGATCCATCGTGAGGCTATTCTTCGTCATCTGAGATGCTGGTGGGGCCGATGGTGGCCAGGGGGGCACGTTGGAAGGTGGCAGCTGATCTCGGAATATTGTTCGAACACGGTGCTCGTCCCAGCGCACCCTCCCACCCTGGCTCGCGAACATACGAAGACAGCGAAACAGGCTGTCCAGAAAGCGGTCGGTGACGACCCAGCAGTCCACGAACGTCTCCCCCTCTGCGTCTACATAACTGTTCATGAAGCGATGGGCAACTTCGCCTTGAACACTTGGAAACCCCATCCAGCGATGAAATCGGTTGACATCAGCCGAGCTGTTGAAGTATGGCGGGTCTTTGCCATACTGCTCTTTGCACAGGGAAGCTTCTTTGTCTTGGTTGCACGGGCTGACGCCCCGCCCTGCAGAGCCAAAGGCCCAGAGCGATAAGTAATGATCACATGGCTCTCGCACGCTGCCCAGCACGAAGAATTGTGCCTGCTCTTCTCGCCCCGAAAAGCATTCCTCATGAACCGTCGCCCAGCAATCTGGTGTCGCGTTCAATACGCTGCTGCAACGTTGACCGATTGCTAGGTCCAAGGCTGCATACACGCTGCCCCCACCCGCTTTGGGGTTGTGGTTGTAGAGGAGCAGCTTGCGTGGCGGCTCACTCCAGCGAGAGTGCGGCAGTGCCCGGAGGCTGCTCATATTGTGGGGATGAGCATGTTTCATTTTGTGGCAGTACTCCCTCATGCTGGCGCTGGACGAGTGCCGTCGCGTCGATCTTGCATGCGCGTGCTGCTCTTCCCCGAACGGGCCATGTCTGGCTCTCCCCTTCGTAAGTGGTATAGGTAGCTTTTACGAATAATAGGAAGTGAAGGAAGTCTCTTCTACTAGCTTACTTCCTTAAATAGATAGAATCCGGGCCTAATGGCCGACGCCTAGGGCGTCTCGAAACGTACGTAGGGCTACTACTGATTCTCTGAAACGTACCTACGAGAGTCCGGAGTCCGGACGAGCCTACGGGGGGACGGGGGTAGGGAAGGGTTAAGGAACCCTCTCATGACAGGCGAGCTAGCCCTTGTCAGTCCCATTCCCTCGCCTGGCACCCCCTCCTACTAGAGCGGTACGTGTCCTTGACTTCTAGTCCTCTGCCCATATGTGCTACTCTGACCATCA